AATAAATCCAAAAGTCCCACATATGAAAGAAGAGGAAGAAGAACTCTCTGATAAATTTGATGGGTTTGAATCAACATCTTGAACTTTTGTAACAGTGACACCAATTCTATCAGAAGGTATTGGACATGCATTCTCTCTAACACTTCCCAAATCTCCAATAATTGTCTCTATATGGAGAATATTATCCTCTTTTTTGGTAATTATTGTTTCTTGGAGGAATAAATTGTCTGGTTTGATATCACAATGAATTAAATTGTTATCATGAAGAGATTTTAGTCCATGACTGGTTTTAATTAGAATTTGAAGTAAATTTCCCAAATAGAGTTTAGTTTTCAAATTTCTATAATTAGACAAATTAATACCTCTATATTTGGAAATAATAATAGCTTCATTTCCATTCTTTTCAGTGATTTCATAAGTTAATATATTTGCATTGTGCATTTGTTTAGCTTTCATATTATGTTCAATTTCTCCATAATTATAAATTGACAAATCATTTGCATTTTCCTCACCACCATCGTCATCACCACCAACATTATTAGAATCATGATAATCATGATCATAATCTCCATTGTTAATAATTTTAACAACATAATGACCATTTAAATTTACATCGGTTCCAATATATTTAGATTTGAATACAATAATACCGTCATTTCTTGCAAGTTTTAATGGTTCTTCAATTTGTAGTGCCAAGTGTTGGATGGTGATCTCCGATTTTGTGTGAATGGTTGAAATTAAACTCATTTCCTCCTCTTATTTTTTTTTAAAGTAATTTTAATTTTTGTAATTCCAAAACGTGATTTAGTTTACGACTATTCGAAAGATTACAAAATTTACTTCATGAGATTAACAATAATTAAATAAATGGGAATTTGTGAAAATTAAGGTTATTTTAATTTAAGGTTGTGTATTGTTTCTTACGATAAAACATGTAAAGTAATCCAATAATTGAGGCAGAGAAACAAATAATCACGAAAAGACCACCTATGGTTGCTCCAACGATAATTCCAATATCTGAACTGTCATCCTTTTTTGGATTAAATGGAGAAGGTGATTGACCATTGACAGTAAAATTTTGAGCATTTGAAACAGAGAATTCAGTACATGCAGAATTTCTATTCAATTTTCCAAATAAGATATTCTTCAATTTTTGATCATTGCACAAATTGCACTTATCATTAGAATTGACACATGACTTGACATTTGAATTAATAAGGGAATAGTTTGAGAAAATTTCAAATTCACCAATAACTAGGGACTGAGAACCATTACACAAAGGTCCTTCAATAGTTTCAATCATCATTTCAAAATTTCCCAATTTAAATCTCGAAAGTGTTTTCGTCTCTGAAAATTTAACATAAAATTTGTGTTGCATGTCTTCAGTGACGAACCAATCCTTCTTTTCTACAAATTCATCACAGAAAGTAGTAGGATATCTTTCACTTTGTTCAAATAATCTAATCAATAAATGAATCTTCAAGGTTAATTGAGTGCAATTGTTAGTCAATTGAGTTTGATAAGCATTTTGAGATGTCCCGCTGTTCTGAAGAATTTTTGCCACTTTGAGCAAGCCATGGCTCTGTTGGACTCATCTGTGGAGGAAAACTTGCCAAAATATTCATAACATGGAGTAAGTGATGCACTGCCCAATCTAATACTTTCGTCGAAAATAGTATAGCTAACTGAGAACTCAATCACAAGATCTCTTGTATTTCCTTCATAATTAAAATCAACAACTTGTACATGTGCATACTGTTCACTGAAAAACATGTGCATTTGATTGAAATTGCTAGGATTGGTCGAGTATTTAAAACCGTTCATGGTTGTTGTGAAATTCTTTCCAATTAAAAAATCTCTTGTGATGCTGGTTGGACATTCATCACACAAGATGACATTCAATAGACAACAACAGGATATGACCAATAGGATGGACAACAACAGGAAGTGGAGATTGACAGTTCGCATTATTGTTTATTTTTTTAACAATTTGAAATAATTTGAGATTCGTTTAGAATTAAACTATTTAAGATAATTATCTTGGTGGATGTTTTATGGAGTTTTGCGCATGTGGAATTATATTGGAATCTATTTGGCATTCAAGAAAAGTGTGTAACGGAGTTAAATTATGGTGACCATACTTATTGAGTATGAGATACAATGTTCCCATAGCTGAGGATTCGTGTATTAATATATCCATTACTGTTCGTTCTTATTCTCTAACTTCTTTTATTAATAAACTACTAGAAACATACATTTCAATTAATTCAACAGATGTTAATGAATAAAAAAAGAAATATTTCGTTGTGAATGTATTCCCGTGTAGTCCAATGGCTAGGATACCTGGCTTTCACCCAGGAGGTCCGGGTTCAATTCCCGGC